CTGGGCTCTTTTTAGGTCTAAAAGCATCAGACCTACAATTTGTTATATTGCATTGTTATGCAATCACAGATTTCTCACACCTCTCTTTCCTCTGCTGGTCATCCCACAAACAACCACTACATAAAATGGCCTATGCTTCTGTTAAAAATGGGTTTTCCATAGAGAAAGCCTCAAATTGAGAATTAAAAAAAAAATAAAACTGAAAAAAAATTTCTGAAAACCAACTTCTCTCTTTTAATTAAAAGGAAAAATATTAAGTTGTCTTCAGGTTTTCTCAAGGACATTACAGCAGCCACACCAGACATCAGCTTTAGGTTCTGGAAACACACCTCAACAGATTTTTCCCTGATGAGTTCTGCAGAAGCACAGAGGGTCAGCCAGGTGGGCAGTCACCAGCAGAGCACATTGGTTTCAAGAGGCCAGGCAAATCGTTTCAATCACTGTGTTTGAGTACTAAAGCACCGAAACAATATTGCTGAAGGAAAATGAGGGGAACATTGATACAGAGGAAGGTCAAAGCACACAAACTGACATCTCAGGGAGAAGCAGAGACAATTTTATTGAATGCTATGTTAATAAGGGTGGAATAGACACCAATACTGTTCGCAGCTCACATAAATAACATTGTGTGCAATAGCTGGTAAAATGGTGGGTGTTAAGGTTTTGCTGATGCATTTTCTCCCAGAGAAAGTAAAGTCAAAAACCTTTTGTAGGATGGTTTCATAACACAGTCAAAAGCCGTTTGTAAGAGATAGCTTCATTAACATTAAAAAGATGTAAAAGTATGACATTCTTCTTGTACAGAGAACAGCTACAAAGGTAGTAACCCTCACCTCCTGAATATCACTTTACGTTACTTGATAGCAAACCCCTGTGGAAAACACATTAAACAATATTAGCATAGAGCTTCCTGTTTCACAGAGAACAGAATCTTCTCATAGTGACTAGAGCAAGATAGAAGAAAAATGATGTTGCAAAAGGTGACCTCTGAATAGTTTTATAGAGAACTGATAATATAAACCTACTCTCCCAGCACAAGAATTGCAGTGACTAGCTAAGGAGGATTAGTTCAATTCTCCTATAGCAAGGAGAAAGTATTTTGTTTAAATTTAAGAAACTACAAATTAAGAAATATGATTACATTAGGAAGAATTCAGTTTTGTATGACCTTTCCCATTGACAACAGGGTATGAGTAATCTATAGAAACACCAATCTTGTCATATCAAGCAGTGCATAGCAGCATTAATGCTGAAGACCTTCAAGACTCCCTTAATGATAAATGGTTGCACTGCAGTAGCACTAGTTAGCATGCAGAGTGTCCAAATCCCTTGAGAGACAAAATATTCCCACAAATATATATCACTGATTTTGGAAAGTTTTGGAAAGTAAACACAACAGATTTCGTACAAACAAACTGAGCAATTGAAGGCAGTCCTCAATTTTATTTAGTAATCGGGTTGATTTATTTTTTTTAGAAGCAGAGTACAAATTCATACAAGTTTTAGTCAATAAAATGCTGCTTTTATAGTCTATAGAAATGCTAAACTTATAAGCTTTGAGGATTTATACATAAATAAAGATGAAGCTCAGAAATAGGTATGGCATTCTTTCACTCCTGTTTAAAAATATGTAAGAGTCTTTGAGCCAATTTGAACGATGGATTTTTCATAAATTCAAGTATTCCTATTTTCCTGAAACTTTTACATTAAAATTTTTGTTATTTATACTTCCTTTCGCTTTTCACTGTTAAAACAAACAAACAAACAAAAACTCATCAGTATGGTTCTTCTTATCTTTTCTTTTAAAAAGGAGCTTTGTTAAGGGTAGTTGCGAGCTGCAGATACCCTCCAGCATCTGCAGCCCAGCACCCTCTGTCCTGGTTGCTGGAGCCCAGCCCAATGCCTGGACGCATGGCTCTGCCCAGCCAGAGGACACGGCTGCTGCTTTCCCAGTTGCAGGTTCAACCAGTAGTGAAGCTACACGTCTCAGACACACACACACACACAGAGGACACTGACATGGACAGTCACACAAGCTGCCACAGACAAGGTGCTGCCTTCAACAGCACCTTCATACAGAGCTCATAAAACACAAGCCAGACAGCCAGGTCCCCTCCTCCTCTCCAGCTGGCAGAGGTGGAAGATCACTAGTGAAAGCACACAAACACACCCCTTTGTGTATCCCTCAAGCTTCTCTGTCCAACTCCCCCGCCCAGGTCCTGTGCCCTGCTGCCCATCCCACAGGTGGGTACTGGTCAGCTGGTCCTGCTGAGGTTTGAACAGGCACTCACACCTGGTCTGGGGGACGTGCGCTCACCCCACCAGCAGCAGTGGGCACCAGGCACACAGGCTCTGACCCACACTCCCACTCTGGCTGCAGGCGCTGAGCCCCTCACTCACCTCCCTCACACTGCTCCCAGCCTAGTGGTGGGAGACGAGACCTCCTCGCCTGCTCCAGTGGGTGGCACAAACATGCCAATGGCTCCAGTGGGTGACATCACAGGCCAGGGGTGCCCACTTCCCCAGTCTGACGCCAGCTGCCCCAAATCCATTCACACGGGACCTCAGCAGCTGGCAGATGTTCCTTGCAGCACTCACACACAATGAGATTACAGAGAGAGATCTTGAAAACAGGATTTAATCAGAAGATTGGACAGACTGCAGTGGTCAGGTGGAGGGCTCAGTCACGCAAACATACTGACCAGCTCTGTTTACAAATGATGGATCCCTTTCACACACCTTTCTGTCTACACCCACATTGTTCCTCCCCGACCCTCTTCCCCTGCACATTCCCCCACCACTTTGGGCAGTACCACTAACCTCCTGCAACATCCTGGACCCTCAGGTTTTACAACTTTATCAGTTGCAATGTACCAGCTTGCTTAAAAATAGCTCATTAATTTTTGTTTCTTGTCTTTGTACCATTACATTTGTCCGCCAGGTCTGTCTCTCTATTTCAGTTATTGCTTCCCCCTTCTCCTTTACATCACATTTCAGAAGGCCCTTGACCGGATAATCTTACAGAAACAAGTGTTCCCATGTTCCCCACACTCTTTATCGGTTAGTTTGACATAGCCCTACATACTCCCACACAGCCTTACAAACTGCTGATTGAAGTGAAATCAAGAAAGAAATATACTTCAAAAGTATCCACAGATAAATTGTCATGGGAGTCTTCCACCTTCTATTCTTGCTTCTGGTGTGCTCAGGCAAGAACAGCATTCACACTCATGTACAGAATTTATACTCCCTGCATTTTCAAAGCAGCTCCATTATATTCCAATGGATCCTTCAGGAAGGAAAGTAACACTCAACATGAGTAAAGGGTGCTTTAAACTCAAAATACTAGGCAGATTATACAGATTATACAGCAACAGCCATTCAGAGGGGAAAAAAAAAGCCTATGTAGTCCACAAACCAAAGACAAGCATGTAGTCAAAAAATTCTATTTTCTATGAGGAGGAAAAAAACTATTACACTTTCTCCAATGTCAAGCAAGCCAATGCTATAACTGCTTCACTCTCTTTTTAAAACCCTCAAAATGTAGAAAGCTTTTGAGAAAACAGCATAATTTTGAAAGAAAGTGTATTGTTTCTCTCCCCCTTGTTTCAATATTTGCCCAGGTAACTCTCTGTTCAATCGGTGCCCAGCTCACTCTCCTCACCTTGCAAAGAAGGGCAATATCAGTTTCAGGAGTAGCGCTATCCAATAGTGCTTGAAACTCCCACAACAGCAACCCTGCTACAAAATCCAGAACAAATGGTAAGCACACTGAGATTTTTTTTTTCCTAAATAGTTTGCATTTAGGAGTAGCAATAACATACTCAGAAAGGATGGACAGGGAGTCTAAAAACTTGGTCAGGGAAAACACATAGTAAACAAAAGTCAAGTCATTAAAGCTGGGGAAAGAAGAACATGATATCTTTGGAATTCTCTACCCCACTCAGCAGTTCCAGAAAGAGTTTCTAGACTTCAAATGTCTGATCTCCTAAAGAGTCTAATTTAATCCTCCCTTCTCCTGAAAGCTTTTATTGCCATTTTTTTTAATTTATTTTATTTTCTCTGTAACCTAAAGTTCAGAAACACTGCCAGGAGGACACTAGAGATTATACTTAAAATATGTTACACTGGCTAAAGAAATTGTATCCAATATTTCAAAACAAAATTCTTGGAATTAGAGGATTCAGTGTGGAGCTTTTGTCAATGTGTTAATCTAGATAACCAGTAGGCCCTTACAATGCACAGAACAGACAGAGCCCATACTCACTCACTTTATGCCCATGTATTTTAGGCTGAAAGAACAGTTTCCTTACAGTGTCTAAAGTGCCCCATCTCCCTGTTTAGCATGCATTTTGTGTTAGAATTTAATTCCTTCACATGCAAAGAATTTGACACAACACTGTTAGAAAGATTAACCCTTTCCCCAACCTCAACCCCTCCTAGGAAGGTATGTATACGTGGCAGTTCATACACATTACCTCACAGTGGCTTCAAGTATCAGCGTTTCATAGCAATTATACTTTACAAAAAATTCTGCAGCTTCCAATTGAACCAGGCAGTTTTTACGAAGAAAAGTGCTTTATTATTTTTTTTCTCCTCTTAAAAAACACAGCTTATGAATTCTACCTGCTTACTGATACATTTGACACTATTGGAAAAATAAGGCAGCTGATTTAGGAAACAAGAATTATTCACACTAGGGAGATATATATCATTAACCATTTTTGTTTCTTAATCTGTTCTTCATGTGTTGTACATAGAGCAATTCTGCCACCTAGAGTAAAATCCAGGTCCAAGATAAAAAGATTTTGGTGAACATGCACTGTCTGCTTGACTAATTTGAAATGGAAGAGGTACCTTCTGTGGTAGATAATTAAATGCAAATATTATGGGTTTATTCACCTTTTTTTTTAAATCAAGCTACAAATATTTAGTCAGCAGCTTGCTATCAAAATCAGCAGCATTGCCAGAGAACCAGGTGAAATATAGAATAAATACAGTTGAGATAATTTACATTTTTATTGGCCCTTTCTTTACATACATCTCCAAATATTTCCACAATTTCACAAAGTAGTTATCCATTTCCCCATATAAATGGGATAGAATTCCCTTAACAAGGTTTTAAATTAGGAATTAGTCTACCTGGGCAAACCAGAAAATTATAACCCAACTGAACAGAAAAATGGCTCCAGTTTATTCATATATATATATATATGTTATATTTCTAAAGATTCCTATTTCAGAGGCCAAAAAGTGCTACCATTTGATATGTAAAGCACTATCTGTTAGCTGGGAGGGGAAAAGTGAGGCAATGACATGGCAAAGCAATTCCTTACAAAGAGCTGATGATCTTCAGTTTAATTTATATAAAAGCTAGGATTTTAACATCTTATTAGTATGAATTAATGCATTTACACCCAGTTTTCTAGCTCACAAGGATGAAGAACTTATGTCTCCTTGGATACAAATCTGTGGTTTTAAAGATTCTGATAAATTTAAAGCAATAAATCATCCTATTCTGAGGGTTGAAAGGACATATGCCGAGCTCTTCCATGAGCAGTTATGTCAAAGTACCAAATAGCACATAATTTTCCCACTAGTGACTCAAATACATTTGTCACCATGGTAGATGGAGATTTGCTTGCAACTAAACAGGCTAAAAATATTATTTTCTTCCTCCTGGTTCTCTGTCTCAGAGAGGGGAGAACACCCTATAGAGGCTACGCGGGGTTAATCCCATGGCTCACCACACATTGGTTGAAAAGGCATGGACAAGAATTCCCTTCAGAGGCAGGTATTGGATGTAATCTTCAGATCACAAAGTCTTTAAAAATTTGTTGCTAGAAGCCAGGAGAGTTTGCCAGATAAAGCATCTGGGGGCTTTTGTGGTTTTTGTTTTGGTTTTTTGTTTTTTGGGGTTTTTTTTTGCACTTCTCTTCCTTAAAACACCTGCCGCTCCTGAAGCTGAGATAGTGAGATAGCTGAACCTTGGCACGACCCTTCCTAGCCATCCTCATGTGGTTGCTTTTGTGATAAAAAAGCACCAAAAATGAGTTGTTGCTGGAATTAAAAAAAGTCTGTGCTTATTGGCAATAATACGTTGCACCAAATGCACACAGAACACTTCATCTGAGGATCTAAGTGTTTTGCAAACATTAATTAAGCTCTGCTCTGCTAATATGATTCACAGAATGCCATTATCACACCCAAGGGATGCAGGAAAGAGAGCCATTGAAGCAAAGTATAGGGAAGCAAGCCCTTGAAAGCACAATGACTCCATTACAGTTCACATCAACCTACAGGACAAAGAAAGTAAAGTCAAGGATTACTCAGAACAGAGCAGTTGATTTTTATGTGATTTATGAAGCATATATACTTTTTAAAAGTACTGGTTTCTTCTGACCTTTCTTTCTTTTCTTGTCACTTGTAGGATTATATATTATTAGCATTTCCCAGTCCTACTATTATTTCTGTATATTGTTATCTTCCTAACCTTGAATACATTCACGTTTCTTTTCAAATCTGCTAGTCTTGACCTTCCAATCATTTGACCTTTGAGTATCACATTTCCTCCTAACACCCTATACCTCAAATTCTTTCACTTGACATTTCCCTCCAGAAGTCAGAGAACATTTTTCCTTTCTCAACCTTTACCACATTTTTCAATACTGCACTGATCATTCCTGACTCCCTGGGGAGCAAATCATTTCCTATTGCTAGGAACAGAGAGTAAATAGACATAGTGGATCTTGGGAGCAAAGAGCAGTAAGCATTCATTGTTCATTCCTACTCCCTTTCGTCTCATCTCCATTACAACAGAAACACACTGAAGAATGTGTCTTGAGTTGTTCAATAACTGGTATGTTCTGTGTTGTGATAGGTCTTTATAGCATCAGTCATGTTATCAACAAGAAGCCAGAATGACTGAGAGCCTCTCTGGATTGCCTGTACACCAACATTCACAGTGTGCAGACATGAGGACAGAAGTCTGCACGAAGCTGGCAGGGCTACGATCTCACTGGGACCATGGAGACATGGTGGGGTAGCTCACACAACTCAGCTGCTGAAATGAGTGGAGGATGGTAAGGGCATGATGGTAAGGAGGTGGAGTTGCCCTTGATGCGAGAGCAATGCAGGGGTTGGATAAGAGCTCTGCCTGGGGATGAATGATAAACCAGCTGGCAGATTACAGGTCAGAATCGCTGGGCAGACCAAAACTGGTAGTGCTGCAGTGATTGTTTGCTATCAACCACCTGATTCAAAGTATTAGATATTTGTGGAGTTCTCCAGACAACTACAAAAGCCTCTGTAATGCACAGGCCCTGGTGCTCATGCAGACTTTGATCACCCCAATATGTGGTGGAGGTGCAGAGCACAAGAGATTGAGGATGTTTCAGGAGTGCATTAATGATGATTTTCTGATACTACTCATCAAGCAGACAACAAGGGGAAATGCTCTGCTGGACTTCATACTTACAAAGAAAAAAAATAATCAGGGCTGTTGTGATTTAACCACGACCAGGTATCTCAGCCCCATACAGCCTCTCATTCACTATCCCTGCAGAGGGATGAGGGAGAGAATTAGAAGAGCAGCAAACGTAAGAAAAATCATAGGTTGAGATAAAAACAGGGTTGAGATAAAAATTAGTAAAAGCAATTGTTTACTAAGTCCCTTAGCAACAGAAACTCCCTGGAAAACTCCTTCCCAGTTTTACTGCTGAGAACAATGTCATATGCTATGGAATATCTCTCTAGTCAGTTGGGGTCAGCTATCCTACCTGTGTGCTGTCCCAGCCTCTTGTCCATCTCCAGCCCTCTCACTGCAGCAGGCAGAGTGAGAAATGGAGAAGGCCTTGATACTATTTCAGCACTGTTCAGCAACAGTGAAAACATTGGCATGTAATCAGCATCACCTCGGACACCAACCCAAAACACACCACCCTACAGTCTGCCATAAAGAAAATCAGCTACGTGCCCGCCAAACCCAGTACAGGGGGTATGAAGCCTGGAAGCAATCCTGAGGTGTGGAGTTCAAGATCCAGAAAGGAGGAAACAAAGCACATAGCAAGAATCTGTACTCCAGGAAAGATTACTTTTGGTTCCCTTACGGGCCTGTTTGGAGGAGCCACATGGAGTACAGTTCTGAAGAAAAGAGGTGTTCATAGCAACTGTTTGATTTTTGTTCAAGGATCACCTCTCCAAGCTCAATAATTGTCTATCTCAATGTGCAAAAACTCATCTATCAAAAAGGAAAAAAATCAAGGGATGACAGCAGGGACAAGTGATCCAAAATAAATACAGAGACACTGTCCAAGTGTGTAGTGATGGAGTTAGGTACATCAAAGCCCATCTGAAGCTGAACCCAGTGAGGGACACAAAAGGCAATAAAAAAAGTCTTCTACAGGCACATCAGCAACTTAAGGAAGACATGGGTCAGTGTGTACCTGCTGAATGGGGAACACAGTCTATGGTGGCAGAAACAAAGATAAGGCTGAGGTACTCAATGCCTTCTACACTTTGGTCCTTACTAGCAAAATCTGCCTTTCAGAAATCTCAGCTTCTTGAAATCATCAGAAAAGTCTAGAGCAGGGAAGACAGTGTCAATAGAGAAGGAATGTACCTACAAGTGCTGAGAAGGCTGGTTCAATGTCATTGTGAGACCACAAACAATGATCTTTGAAAGGTCATAGTGACTGAAGGTTTCTGAGGACTGGAAGACAGTAAGTGTCATCTTCCAGAAGGGCAAGGAGGAAGATCTTAGAAACTACAGGTCAATTGATCTCACCTCAAATCCTGGCAAGGTGATGCACCAAATGATCCTGGAAGATATTTCCAAGCCCATAAAGGAGAGGAAGGTGATGAGTCAGCACAAACTTACAGAGCAGGAATCATATGTGAACAGCCTAATAGCCTTTCACAACAAAGTGATAAGCTCTGCAGGTGAGAAGAGAGTAGTGGATGTCGTTTATCTTTAGTTTTGTAAAGTTTTTGACAGTCTCACATAACTTTCTTACAGATACACTGACAAAACAGACTAGATAAACGGATAATAAAGTGGATTAAAAACTGGTTAAACTGCCAGGCGCAGACTGGTTGTTGCAGTCAGCAGCACAATGCCCAGTTGAAGGCCAGTTACTAATGTTATATCTCTGAGGTGCATACTAGGGGCCAGTACTGTTTACCATTTTCATTAAAGAACTGAAAGGTGGAACAGAGCATGCCAACAGCAAGCTTGCAGATAATAAATATCAGGGAGGAGTGGCTGATACACCAGGCGGCTATGTTGCCATTCCAAGGGACCTACCTCAACAGCCTAGAGAAATGAGACAACAGAAACCTTGTGAAGTACAGGGAAGTCAAATCTCAAGTCAGATATTTGGGGAAAAATAACCCCATATACCAGCACAGGCTTGGAGGGGCAACTGGAAGGAAAGCAGCTCTGCAGAGAAGGGCAGGGGATCCTGGTGGACGAGAAATTGAACTTGAGTCACCACTGTACCCTTAAAACATTCATGGTGCACTAGGTAGAGCCATGCCAGCACCTAGAGATACTTCCACTGTTGATATACATTGTAGATGCTGTCACCAACCCTGCACTCCACAGTACAAAGAAGAGATGGACAAACTGGAGCAAATCCAGTGCAGAGGCATTGTGGAGTCTCCATCTGTGGAGACATACAAAACCAAACTGAACAACCTGCTGTAGGTAACCCTGTGTTCAGCAGGGGTGTTAGATTAGACAGTCTCCAGTGGTTCCTTCTGATCCTAAAGGTTCTGTGCTTCTGTGATCCATGTTCTGGTAACCAAATAAGATGAAAATAAAATGTTTTTTAAAAAAGGAAACTGACTGTTTCTCAGTATGTTTCAAATTCAACATACAGCAAGAGCTCAGAGATTGTTAGACATTCTCATACGGTAACTGCAATCCACCAGCAGGTTAAGCCATCAGACATCTTACCCACAAAAGGTCAGAACACTTTTGAAACACTAGGTGAGCTCACTGAGCACGTTGAATTCCAATTAAGTCAAGCTGCAAGACTTTGAAAACTGGAAATACAAACTATAGAAACAGGGACTATAGCAAAGTCCTTATGTTAATGTCATCAGCTAATGGACAGAAATGACAGGGAAGCTTGAGCATTCCTCTCTCCTATTTGTGTGTACTTCATTAATATATAGAGGTTTTTAGACTAACTACCAACACAGATGTGAAATACACAGAGAGCACTATTGAAAGTCTTTTTGATGGTTTTGTACCACTTATGCTTTACATCCTCAGTACTTTTGTGCCTTTTCCATTCCCCCATCATGTCACTACGAAAGTCCCTGTTTAAGATAAAGGAAGGTGAAACCTGCTTTTTATATTATACTCTTTTCTGGCTTTTCATTTTACTTTCTGTTCACTTCCCCCTACTCCCTCCCCGAATAGGTTAGAGCATTCTGAAAGACAGAAGAGAGTTTAATGTAGCTTTGAAAATCAACGTTTCTCTTTGCAAAGGAAAATGCTTAGCTCTCAGAAGAGTTTTATCCCTTAATCTGGTGAATTCAGAACAGTACTTTTAATTAACAGAAGCTTAACATTCATTCAACCCCTTGCAATAAGCCAGTCACTATTGCATTTATGTTACAGAACAATTGAACTGTCAAATTAAAAGTCACAAAACAAATAAGTGACAATAAGAACTAGATTTCAACTTCTGAAGTTTAACTAAATGTGTTATCTATTTATATTCATTAGAGCAAAGATCTAAAGGCACTACCTTTGCCAATACTCACCTTTGAAGGGCCAGAAGACAAAAGAAATCTTTCACTTCAAAGTGACAATAGACAAAACAACAGAATTTTTCACTTGAAAAGTTCATTGCTCTAAGGTATTAGTGGGAATTTATAGGGATACTTAGCCATATATTTATTTTATACATACATTTGTGTGTATATATATATAAAATACATACACGCACATTAGATGGAGTTCAAAGTAGACAATGGCAATTTTTTTTAAGGAAGCTTTTGGAGTTTGGTTTCTTTTTGTTCCTGTCATGTTACTGTGAAGATTGCCATGTTAGGCAGTAGCTATTTCATCTAGACTAAACCTGGTTGATCTGCTCAGGGTTAAGTCCTATCAGGTACAGCTCACAAACCATACAAAGCACAGCCAGCAGCAGCCTAGGCAAAGTGATCAAATGCTAAGCTGGAATGCACTGGGAAACCTCAGCTGGGACTGCTTTATCTGGCTCCTCAAACAGAAAAGAACAAGGTCCTGCCAATTCATTAAAAGCAGCTTTGAAAGACCTGTATTTTTGTCAAGTATGTCCAGAGCAGCCAACACCACATAAGATGAAGAGAGCTGTGTAAAGAAAGGTTCATGAAGTAAACTTCTTCCCAGTTGTGAGCAAGGCATTACTGCTATGTGTTATCACTGAAAAAAAACCCAGAAATAAACACCACTCTACCTCATTTTCACTTAAAGACTTGCAATAGTACAGAATATATGTAATAGTAAATTATAATCTTATCTTACACTGTGAGACTGCACTTTCTGTCTTCATATACAAGAAATGTTTCCTGTGTATTTCTACAATCCAGTTCTACAGTGTTGCAGAAAGAAAGGGTAAATAAAGATTCAGTAATTAAGGTTAAAGTTGCACTTCCAGCAGGACTTAGCAAGAATTTGTTGATTTCAGCTGACCATATGGGGGGGGGTAGAAGTGAATAGAAATATTAGTACTAATCTTATTGGAAAACACTTTATTTGGAAGAAATTCCCAAGCTAAATTACATAAGCTATAATTTCAAGACAGCAAGTTGATGGAGTGTTTCCAATTTACAGGATAATATTTTAAACCAACTTAAAAATGATAGGCATTGGTAAATCTTTCTGGTGTCTATACCAGTAAACTATAAAAATTCAAGGATACTTCCAACTACAGTTTCACAATCCAACAGTATTTTCCTGAAAAGTAATATCAAAGTGACCTTTGAATTCCTGCCATTTCTATTATTCTCTCTCCCCCAAATTCTTCATTGCTCCAATTACACTCTACAGCAGAGTACTGATCAAAGCAGTGTCTCTTACTGCTACAATCTTCTTTTCTTATCTAGAAAAGCATCTATAGGTAGGACACAGAGATTTCCCTAAGTCTTCCGCAGGCAAATTATGAATGTGCTATATCATGAGCACAGCACTAAAACAGTCATTCACCAGCGCAAGGCCCTGAAGAAAAAAAAGAGGAAATAGCTAATGGTTTAGCAGGGTTCAGGCTGCATTTAAAGTGAGGGAACTATCTGTTTAATTTCCAAGCCTTTCTGTTCAAATGAATGTTTGACTTCTCCCGGGCAGGGAAAAGAGTAAAAAGTAAAAGGTTTTTTTCACAAACAGCTAAGAAATGGAGCCGCCTGCCTAGTTTATGTAATTCTTTGCAGAGAAGTCATCCTCTAATGTGCATACTAATTTTCCCTTGTGAAAAGGAGCAGCAATAATAACCAACAAGTTGAACGTTAGCATATTTGCGACCTAACTGTCAAATCAAAATGTGTGAATTACAGTGCTGCTTTCTCCCCTGATGTTCGAAATCTAACATATGCTGGCTTACACAGTGCTTGGAGATGGAGAGTGTCTTTAAAGACATGGAAAACATACACCCTCTTCTCCCTCCGGAACAAAAGAAAATTAATGTTTGGTTGTAATGCAACAAAAAAAATCAATCATAGCTCTTTGATGATAGGTTTGTCTGAGCTCCCCTGGAAAATAGGACACTTGAGAATACTTAACTACAGTAGACACAAATCTAAAATAGCCTTTGCAGTTGCAGCAAATTAGTAGTTAGGAAAGCTGAATTATTTCCACACAAATCTCAGAACAGTTTGGTTCCACAGGAATACTGAAAGATTTGGCAGAAGCCAAAAAAGACAGCAGATAATCATCTGAACCAAGAGACACCACCATAATCTACAGATGTGTATGGCAAGTAGGCAGTACGGGGCAAATATTCTTCCCGATTTTGGCAAAAGACATGTCTAAGAATCTGGATAAAGGACTGGATGTGTATGTGCTATTGGGGACCTTACACTTGATTTCAATAGCTCTAGATAAAAAGGGAAGCATGAGCAGCAGAACTGTTATTTCTGTTACACACCCAAAAACAAGGCATTGAAAAGTATACAGTCTTTAAGCTGTGAAAATGCCAGCTGGAGTTTCTGCTTTGGTTCAGCTCTCCTTCACAGGACTCCTGCAGGACCTTTATTTTTTAATTACAGAATCTCCAGATAATGCTTAAATTATTACCATTCAGTGTTACTAATGAGGCTCTGAACAGCAGGAGTCTTCTCAGAAACATGGAGGAGCCCCACTTGTTTTTTGTTTTAGTTTGCTTAAATGCTGAAGAATACATTACATCTCTCAATATGACTGATTCAAAAAGAGCAAAGTTAACTCTTACAAGAGAAATTAGTAACACAGCAGCTAATCATTGCCTTGCACAACTGGCCACACTATCAGTGTCTTTATCATATTTTCTACACACCTAATTCCAATCCCAACACTGGGCAAGTTCAAGTTGATTAGCAGATCATCACCAAATCCTACATGAGGCTGTGAAGTCTCTTTCCTGAGATCTAAATGACATCTAGAGCATTCTAGGGAATAAAGTAGTTGACATTATCAAAACTGATCATCTAATTGCTCTTCTACACTTTTTTATGCAAATTCCATTTTTCCTATCTTTAATAAAATTAAAGACTGGTAAATCTATAAAAGTGCCTTCACTGTTCCTATCAGCTATGCAAGTATATTATTCCTATTAGTTTCTTAATTCCCAGCTGCTATGCACACTGTCACAAATAACTTAGAGACCTCTCAGAAGAACTAATATGTTTCCTTTTACTCACACTACTTTGGGATGTTGAAGAACAATGATGCTATTTTTTTCTTTTCAGGAAAATAATTCAAGACTGCAATAACTAGAACTCCTTCAAGGCTTTTCCTTAATTTATATTGGCATGATTGGAAATTAGAGAATTTTCTCCCCTGCCTGCAGAGCCTCAACTAATATACTTGCTTATGGTTAATATTAGCAATGGCACCGAGTAGTTGCACTACAGCAGTTGGCTCAGACACGAGATCAGTAGCAATGCCCAGGAGCTCTGGTCAGACTTCCCTAACTGAAGTATTTCAGGCTCAACAAACCAAAATTCCAATAAAAAAATTCAGAACTTTCCAGAAAACCTGGGTTTGCTTGTAAGATGAGGAGATATATTGCCAACAGCAATGCAGCAGAGGTGTCCCAGACCTGATTTAGACGCTGGGGAATGTAGAGGTTACTGGAGGGCCTAGGCTGCACTGCAGAAACTCTTATTACACAAGACAAAAGTCAGATTCACTACAAAACATCATGCTGAGGGAGATGGTGGGACGGAGGGATGAGCCACTTACTGACAGAAATCAAGATCACTGATATACAACTACTTGTCTTATTTAGTTAGTCTACACCAGAAAACTTAAGAGGATGTATTCTTTTCTATTCAAAGTTTCTAAATTGAGTTTTTTGGGGTTTGTTTTTGTTTTTTTTTTTTTCATCTACATATTAATTTTAGAGGTTTTACTGTTTACAAATCATAGGTCATACATCAAAGCAGAAACTACACAATTTAAGCACCCCTATGGCTGAACAATTCAGCAATGCCTAGATGCATGAAAGCAAGGACTTTTTAAAGTGACAGGTATCTTATTAGAAAAAGTCCACATTCAGAAGCCCTTTGCTTGTTAGGTACTAGTGATACATTAACTTCATCAACTTTCATCAAAACTCAGGGTGTGTTTCTTATGTCTCTGCTGCTTCTTCTACCCAGAACAGAAATTAATCAAAGTCTCTGGCAATGTCAACTGCAATTATCCAGGTTGTTATATGCTCTAACCAGGCAACAGCAATCTAAAAAAAAAAGACACTTTAAACACCACAGGGTTTGGGGATTTTTTGGTTTGGGTATTGTTTTCAGGTTTTTGTTGGTTTGTTTGAGTTTTCTTTGGGTTTGGTGTGTGTTTTTTGTTGTTGCTTTTTTGTTTGGACTTTTTGTTTTGTTGGGGTTTTTTTTTAGATATTTAGGGTAGTTATCTATCTTGGAGTGTTCCTGGTAGATAACCTTTTATCTCCAGTGGTATATCAGATGTTATTTCTGATGTTTTATTTATCTAATATTATTTAAAATTGCTACAAAAAGATTTATACAAAATATAGGCTGAGCAGAAAGCATAATGGACTTTTTTTTTTTTCCCACAAAGTAGTGTTTCCATTCACAATCCTTATTAGGATTTTGTAGCTACACCTTAAAAATGGGTGTATTTCACAAAAGCAGGAATAAGGGAGGGAAAAAAGAAACAAGAGCTGCAATTACATAGTCTGTGTCCAAACTTCCCTTATAAAAACCTTATCCCTTCAATCATTCTTCCAGACTCCTGCATTTCAGAGTACAAACAACAAATGGCATCCTGTTTCTCCTGTCCCCAGCCTCTTTCTTCATCCAAATACATATTCACATGCCTTCACCCCCAACTGTCACATACAATTTCTGGAATATTTCTCTATTGCTAAGAGTCCCCTGTATAAAACCAGCAAGAAAAACTGGAGAGTAGCCGAGTATTATACAGAACAAACACGAAATCCAACACGAGGTTCAGAAATCACTTCCAGGTTATGACCAGCACTAGCTGAAAGATAAGGCCTCTTAGAATACAGACAAAATGTGGCATTTGGAACTCAACTATTTAACTTCCTCTTCCAAACACTGGGGAATAGGTGATAATTTTAAATAAAGAAGTAGAAGAGAAAGGATTAAAGCAGACAAGTACTGCAGCATTAAGCTGACAGAAAATTCAGCTAAACTTCTCTTCAAATAAAGGTACCTTCATTGAATAAAGAAATATTTTCCACTATATAGCTATGTTTGTGGATACTTAGCACATCCTTATAGGGCATTCAAAATAACAGGAAGTATTGGGAGACCTTTCTGAAACTGCTCCACAACTGACTTAATCGGGAGCACTCTGTGCCTAGGAACAGCTAAATGCCCAAAGGACCTTAGAGGAGATTACCTCTCACATTTCAACCCCATTCCACATTCTCCATCTCACTGAGGGCAAGCAGGGTGCTATAGAATTTCACAAGTGATGCCATCACCCAGTGGAGTTGGAAAACTATAATTTAAAAGCCTAGTTTTGACAGGGTAAGGCAAGACTTTGATTCAATAGTAATTAAAAGCAGTTCATCGGGGGGGGGGGAGGGGAAACAACAACAAATCAAACCCTGACTTCAGTGACCGCATACCAACTTGCTAAAGCTGTTAATTAACCAAAGCTCAGTAACGTCCTATGGGATTAGAATGCTCTGTGTTCCACTTGCTTGGGTGCCAAGTCTTGCAGTAAAATAAGACATTCAATATAAGCTATGCTATAATAGCTCAATCAAAATTTGCAGAAAAAAATTAACAGCAGGTCCCCAATAGAAAGGCATTTAGCTGTCTGATGATGCCGAGCTGATTTAGGCTTTGCCAACCTATATGATTTTCCCACTGATAAACAGTTAATACTGTTTAATCAAGAACACTAAGGACAAACTGAAGTGAAAGTAGTGACCAACTCACACACATCAAGTTATTGCTTCTGAAGTGGGCTGTAGACAACTACAGCTGAAAATAATTTATATACAGATTCAATTATCAATACCCTTTCTTTTTATCCAGGAAAATATAATTTATTTTGCACTCTAGGTTCTCTAAACATGACTCACATTGATCCCATGGTCCACCCTGCATTGTCACTCACTCATTTACCTCACTACAATCTTGTCACCTCCACATAGGTGGGATTTTTAGTTTACAAGAGAAGCCACTTTTAAAAAGCTCCTCTTGAGCTTCTTCCTTCTCAGAGCCACTACAAGTTAAAAGGAATATTAAACAACAACAAAGACGTTTGGGTTTTTTGGTAGAGAGCCACAGGCTCTCAAACTAATCCTCGTGCTCAAAATCACAAGGCTACACATTATTCCAGCAGTCACTTGGAAAGGCTTTTCAGCTTGTTCAGGGGGAAGAAAAAAAAAAGCAACCCACGAAACCAAAATCCCAAATCTTCAAAATGTTAAGCAACTTACTCAGAAAGGCTCTTTCCAGCAAAGGCAGTAAGACTCAGGATTTCTAAGCCTAACTGTAGCACCTTGGTTGCCAAACAACTGCCTCCACCTTTCCCTTCCCAGTAATATTGCTGTCAAGCTTTAATAATAGCATGAAACAAAGAAATGTTGGCCAGAATCTTAAGCAAAACAAAGAAAATTTATCTCAAGATAAATAAAAAAAAAAATAAATAAAATCAAAGTTTTTATACTTGGGGAACAGTCTAAGATTAACACTACATAACACTTTCACTAACACAGTTTCACTTTTCAAAATGGAAGTCAGATTTATTCAACATTAAGTGTAACAACACATCAGAAATCAATAAAATCAATTTCCACTTATAAAATAAAGCAAAGTAACATGAATAAACACAGGAAAATACTGTCTGAGACTCTCCAAGCAGGACATTTCTCATACGACTCACAGAAAAGAAAAAAAATATTTTTATATGCAAACAGACTCAATTCCCAAAAACTCAGTTTTTTCCAGTTGTAAAGCAATATATAGCTAATGGGAGGTAAACTAGAAAAAGGAATGAAATGCATCATGCTGTACAACACCAAAGAAATACTCCAAATGCATTTGTGTACAGCATTAACAACATGCAGTAAATGAGGTTAAAAGCAAGTACAGTGTATATATTAGAGACAGAAACTAGTCAGTCTGAGGGTTTTGTTTCTTATTTTAGTTCAACTAATGAAAACAAACAGAAGCCAAGAGCAAGCAGAGGAAGAGTAGAACCTGCATGGAGAACATCTCTTCCTCGAACAGTAGAGCATCTTAGGATTCAAATTGTGCATATATTTACTTGTCTTGGTCCTCTTCTTGCTATGTCATTGAAACACACCCAGATCCAATGACAGGCTTTATGCAAGTATCTACATTTTTATAAAGCAGTAGTTAAACAAAACAATGCAAGTCATTCAAGTTCTGTTAATCTTTTAAGTCAGGCATTAATATGCTGAACACTCACTACAACTCAATGTTATTTAAATTAAAAATAAAAACAAGGCAAGACATCTCCCAAATAGCCTTGCTGAAGACTAGGGTATTTTAATTACGTTTGTTGCTTGGAGGAGAGCAATGTGAAAATACACATGCTACCCAATTCATTTCATTAAGGATTACTTAAATAGTACTTTTCGACAAACAGCTGGGATTTTTGCTTGGTTCTAGGTTCTATTCAGTTCACAGCCTGACAGATTTCTCTTGCCAGTCTTTTTTTTTTTTTCCCCCACAGCAATTTTTTAAAACAAACCCCCAAGATCTCCTATAGCTTTTGTCAGCTATTGATAAGCAAGCAAGCATAGCGCACATGCAAGTTATTAGAATTAGAGAGTCAAATATAATTAACTACAAAGTTCCAAGCAGTAAGTACATCTACATTCCCCTGGGGAGACTCCATCTTAGTGGGAGACGGATTTGAAAGCTGATAAAGAACACAGGTTACCTGGGTCACTTCAGAAGTTCTCTGCCTTCTATCTAAAGACTTACAGGAATCCATTCTACCACTAAGAAGTTAGTACAAATATTCAAGATTGTAATTAATTTCTGTAAGAATGGAGGGATGACTGATAACTGAAGACTGACTTTTGTAGGGCTGGACATACTGACCTTAATTTTAAATAAATTCAAGTCTGAAAATAATTGTGCAGCATTAACTTTAGACATATATAAACAATCAAAGGATAATTTAAGAAAGACAAATTTACCATTCATTCACAAATTGCACCAGTCAATGCTCTACCTAGTTTAACGAAAGCACAGCAGTGTTTTCATAATATCCAACCATGATTTAGTCTTTAAAAGACAACCATTTAGCATTTATCTATTAGTAATTCCCAACTGAAAAAAAAATTATAGTACTCCAAACAACTATCAGTACCTCTTTATTTTTTTAACAGTAGAGAGATCACAAAGAACTGAGTTGAATTAAAGTAAAAGGAATGTGAAGGAAAAAGTTCTAATTTAGATGTCTTTAGCACATGTTAAAACAAAATTGACATTAAGACATGCTACTGAAATTTATCTGAAGCTGCTCTGAGGTCTGGCAATCACCTAAGTTAGTGCTGTAACTACCAAACTTAATGCTAGGTCAAAAATAGAATAGAAATTAGAAATACAAAAGGTAATGCCCTGAAGAGTACACCTAAAGAAGAAAGTGGGGTTTTTTTCTTAGATAAAGAGTTACTGATCTGAAAGGTTGAGATTGAGTGTACCTTTTACCTCCAGCAATCTAAGTTGTGAGTGTTCCTCAGTCTTCTCACTTAGGAGCAGATGAAATACCTCAACTCTTTTTCATCCTCTGCAATGAGCAAGAGGAATTTCTTTCTACCTTGCTCAAATGTGCTTTCCCTAACATCTAAACGGAGAACAACCTTCCAACTTTCATTTCAGTGGAGCATTAAATACACAGAACACACACACGCATAAAATTTGGTAAACTTGAGATTCAAAGTTGCAGAGAAAATTAAAAGGTAACAGAAATCTACTGTGTTTCTGAACACCTGAAGTGGACTTGTGAGTACTGCCATCTTGCTTAAGCAATGTCAGATGGAAGAGCACCTAGGAATAATAGTTTAAAGGTTAATACTGTTACCATTGTTACCATTGGTGCATTCTGTTTATGCAACAGAGGACTAAGTGGAGTGTCAGATAAACACCATCTGTACTGGGCTGGAAACCAAACACATGTATGACACCTTTGAACAGCTACTGAAGCCTCAAAGAATGGTTACCCAAACATTTACACACTGCCAGTCAAACGCTACAGGCAAAAGCCTTTTTTTGGTTATTAGTTATCCCAACATCTCTGCCACTGATAGAAAATTTTAGCAGCACTAGAATGAAATAGCCATGGTGGGCTTAACCAATAGTCAATGAAGATGCAACATCCAGGATTAAAATGCCTACAAGCAGTTTAGAGCAGTGTTTCAAACATGATAGCAAGGCACCCACACACCCCTTTAGTGAGAGCAACTGGAACAGATTAGAAAAGTGTGTTCACCCTACTTAACATATTGTACAAGGAGATAAGCAAATAGACAAGAGGTCCAAGAACTAGTAATTCCTCTATTTGATTTTAAAAAAAATGTATTTTATTACATTCACTACTGCTTGTAAATATGCTTTTAAGTAAATAAAAAACAAATATTTCTTTGTATACATTATGTAAGGTAGTAATTCCTCTCCAGCAATGTATCTTGGAAATGGAATGAAATTATCCTGAAGCTCTAAAAGTTGGTGGTATGGGAAATGCTAATTAGCTCATTTCCCTCCTGTGCATGCCATGTTCCTATATATTGGGAGGTAAAAGGGCAAAATCTTGAAAGCTTTAATTTCTAATTAATGTTATCTTTTTAGACAATCAGTCACAAATTAATGCCTAACTCCAGTTGGCATCCAGAAATATCATAAGAAAACTGAAGTCACATATTCTTGGCTTCAGCATCTTCAAGGCTTCCAAAAGAGGAACTGTATTCTTACTATAACAGTACTATCTAGACTATGATGGAGAATCTTCCCTCTTTCAGCAAATTGTCCATCAGGAAGTAAAGAGTAATCTGCTACGTAGGTACCAGTGGGGAAAGAAAAGTTGACATAGGCCCAGAACTGTCAATGATCTATTTTAAATTCATTCACTGAGTAGTGGGAAAAAAAATAAAATAAAACCAAACAATCAACTGTATCTTTAAGTCCACTGTAAACTGGTCAAAAGTTTCCCATGGCAACTACAAATGCCTTTCCTAAAAATCTTTATGCTTTTGGTAAACAATTGTCATACAGCTTTAGTAAGAACCGTGCAAAGGTTTTTTCTTCTCCCTCTTTGTATAGAGCCACACTCTCGACACTTCTTCATTTTACAGATAAAAGACTTAAAAGGTAACCTCTTCGGGGAGAAGCCTTTTAGGCAATTTCCACAAAGGGGCTCTGTCTTGACAAAGTACTCTAACAAAATATTGAAGAAAGCAAAGATCCTCAACTTTTGAAATACTGGAGAGTTTAAAATAAAACAGGGATTTTCGATATAAAAGCTAAACAAACAAACAAACAAACCACCCAAAACAAAACAAAAAAGTCTCTAATGACACTAGATGATTGTCTAGAATGACTGATGGGTCTTACAAAATGCTAGTGCTTGAACTCAAGACTCACTGACTGCCAGTGAGTTCAAGTTACACTGATTAGCAAATGGAGTCAGAACAGAGGATCTTTGAAGCACATTGTCTCACTTCTGATGTGTTGATACATGCCAGGTACTTCAATATCAGGACTGGATTTGACGTTTGCCAGTGAGGATCTACCTAAGAGTCAGTGCTCTCAACATCCCCGTACTAAAAGGACACTAACTGGTTCAAGACAAGAATTTCTGCATTAGCCACAGTAGGAGCAATGGAAGCCACTTACATTGCAGACAAATTCAGGCAGCAAGAAATGAAAGTGGTCTATTAAAATAATAAAAAATAAACCCAACTCAATTAAAATTAGTTTGTGCTCCAACATACAATACTCACCACTTCTGATTGTATTCATTTAAGCTTTTAGATATGTAATATTTATTAAGAAGCAGATATAAAATTAGAAGACAGCTGGTAATAAACTGAGTGTTGAGAGCAGTCTGTTCTCCAAAGGTTTGCCATTTTGAAGCCAAAATCTATCACTATGATATTCTCATCTGATTTGTTTGTACACCACCATATTTTTTTCTTGAAGATAGTTAAATTATTTATTTTAAAAAGATACTTAACACTTAAACTCACAACCAGTGATGAGTTCAACACCTCCTCCATTTAATTTTTTAGTTATACTTACTACAGAAAACTGAATTTTTCTGTTTAGGCTTCTCAGTATTTGAGTTTGCCTGACTTTGATATCTGAATTAAGAAGAGCTGACCTCCCACTCCTTGGTACCAGATTTTTTTTTTTTTTCATGTGTAAATATTTACTCTCCAGTATCTAAATGCCACTTCATCTTTCTGGTAATGATAGAGACAGAGTTCCTTAAACTTTACACCAAGATCTACTACTCAGCCCCAGATCTTAATTTAAACTCAATTATTGCTGTAGCCTTTTTCTGGTAGTAGCCTTCTCCATGCTGTCTGGGAGGCACAATAAGTTCCCTACTTCTATAAAAGTAATTTTTCCCTTTGCAGATGTTCAAGTGCTTCATCAGGCTTTTAACTAGAACTCTGAAGGCTTAGCATTGGAGTGGTTCTCTGGCACAAGTCTTTTTGCATTGCTGCTTTTCTTCTCTGCCATGTACAAGGTGTACAATCTTTGTTCAAAGGGACCATTGTTACCTTGTGATGACTTTTCTTTGAAGCTATGGCTGTTCAATCTGATGATTCAGAGAATAATGGAACAATATTATGCTCTCATTATTTTCTAGTCCCCCAATTTTTTCTTCTCCAGACTCTGCCAAACAGTTGATTCCTCCTATGCTTTTCCATATAGATGGCATACAATCATACTTTGTTAGACAGTACAATTCTGCATTCATTGTGTTCTCTTAAGGAATTAATCAATGTACCAAGAGTTTTAAGGTACTTGCACATGTAAGGTCTCCATCCTGTTTCATAACTGTCCTCTTCTAACCATTTCACTAACCACAGCAAATGTTTCTGTTAAAATCACCACCACTTCAAGGACAGAACTAACACATTGGTTATGTACAGTGGAACCTAAACAGAGAATGGTAGAAAAACACACATCACTTGATTTAGATTAGTTACAAGTTTTGAAGGCTCCGTACTAGAAAAAATTTAGGCATTCAGTGAATTAATTCTTTCATACAGTACATCACGTACATATTGGCAAGAAGTGAGGCCCTAATCACAGGTCCCCTGGCAATGGCACCTGCTACTGAGGCAACTTTAACACCCCTATGGAAGAGCTGAAATTGTTTAGTCATCACTGGGTAAATTGCTTGTGTTGACTAGAGCAGGGAATATTTCTTTGGAATGTGCCTCAAAAGAAATTCCTGCTCAGTATTAATATTTTCAAACTGAATAAAAGGCACTGTTGCTTAAGCAGTATATTTCTTGTCTCCAACTGTTTAAAAAAAAATAAAAAGATGTTTTTGAACAACTACTACCCTAAGAAGGCTTCTTTGTTACCTCACAGTCATTTCATCTCTCCCTATAAAAGCTTAACAAAAATTGCTTTTATCTGAAGCATGTCAAGTCTCACTTTTATATCTATCTTTATATCTGAAATTATGAGTTAGTATGACAGTATGCATTATAAAATTATACCATTTACTTCAGACGTGTCTGAACAGCTAGATCTTCAAACGATACAAAAATAAAGTGTATGAAATCTTACAAAAGGAGGACATTAAGACAATAATAGCTAATTCAAAAAATATAATAACTTATACACAGCAGTAAGCATAAGCAATGTAGCCTACGACAGCTTTCAATTAACAGGACCTCTGAAACATGTCTGAAACAAGCATCACCTAAAATTGGAACATTCCCAAGCAAAATAATGTTTCCAATTTATTATCTTTACCACAGTACAAACTTTCACAACCCAAACGTCCGTTGTCTCTCAGTCTGTAAACAAAAGCTACTATTTCCTCTCCTCACTTTAAGAGAGTGAATATTTTCAGTCTTCAGTCAAGTTTCACAACCATCACTTGCATAAGGAATCAAGAGCCTTTTCTCTTGATAAATTACTTTTTTTTTTGTCTTTCTTTTTTTTTGTCATACAGCCTGCAGTGAAGTAAAATCACAGTGAAAGTCCTGGGAAAAAAATGATCTTTACAGCAGGACTTGAACCATTCTAATAATAAATGCATCTAACAAAGCTTCCCATAATAAAAGCATGACATTTCCATTTCCAGAAATCAAGTCAATTAGAAATGCTAAATTCTACTTAAAAACCCCAAAAGATCTAAAAGTGAAAAGATTCATCTTCTCAGTCAAATACAAGGTCTTTCAGTTTCACTTGCAGAGACTGTTCCAGTCTGTAAAACAGTAGTGCAATTCATTTAGTTCTACTTCTTTTATTTTTGTTAAAGTCCGGTAGATAAATGTCCTAGGTCTATGGAAAGATAGGAAGATGCTCCAGTAAACAAGAAACTTTGGCAAGCCCAGGAAGGCTTACTAGTCCATTAAAGCTTAGGAGTCCAAAGTGGCTTAAAAATGGTTTATGAATAAACTTTAAAAAAAAAACAAACACCACTGAAAAAGACTAAAAAAAAAAGAAAGGAAATAAATAGGCAGAAATGAATGTAAACTGTCTGAACTTTTTAATGATTTCTCATTGACAGCTGGCACGACCATTACAGTCAGTTAAATATAGGTGACCTACAGAGCATTCCATTAGGGCATCCAGTCTGGAATGCTCAAATGGAATTACATTCCTAAAGGTGTAAAAAATAGAGTTCTCATAACATTACTATAGGTTTTCTTCTGCCCATCTCACTTACACTTCTTCTTAAAGAGGTTTTTTATTTTTGATGGCTTTTTATTTTTTTCACCATTTTGGTAGAGGTCCTGTGGGATGCTACTTATCCTGGGGACAGAAGCAGCTTCATGGCTGGGTTTACTATCGCTGCCGGTTGAAGAACACGAGGTGTGCCGAGGCTTTGGGACTGGGATCCCAGTTGAAAGCTGGTTCATGCTGCAGGACTTCTCCAGGATTCCATTATAAACTTTGCTTGCAGGACTAAAGATCATGCTCTTAGTTTCTGCCATGCCTACACAGTCAGGAGAGCCCCTAGAAATATCTGCAGTTAAAGAAGAGGAGTCTCCCGTAGATGATTCCTCCAATGAGAATTCTTCTGGGGATACTTTCTGAGGAGAAATTGTCTGGTACATCTCAAGACTTGCTGGAGGAGACTGCTTCCTTCCAATGGATGAATTTAAGGAGTCACATTCCGAACCGGTTTCCTGTACTTCCCTGAGTCAGAGCAAAGAGAAGAGGAAACATAATGGAACCATTTCCTTCATACAGTTAAAAAGGAAATTAATTCAGAATCAATAACCTTAGTCTAAAAGCACCACCCACACTTTTCCTTAGTAGTTAATTAAAGAAAAAAATGAAGTTAAATGTTAAGTTAAAACTTGCATTACATCATTTCATTATCTAAACTTAAGGTAATTAATTTGTGCAATCTTGCTTTTGTGGGCAGCAGCATCTGCCCAAAATCAGTCATTTGTATCTCACTTCAAAGAACAAAACTATCTTTCTGGCACATGAAGTCAGAAAAGTTATGAAATGAAAGAAGGAGATTTAAGCCTATCATATATAAAAAGTTTCTTCAGGACAAGTGTCCCTACCTTTCAACAAGCTCATTTGCTCCTTCCAAAAGGAATTTAACCTTTTCCTATGAGGCCATGTAACAAGAGTAGGTACACGCTCAACATGCTGTAAGAATTGTGTTACCATCCATCTTCTCTTCGCCCAGTAGCTGACACTGCTTTTGATCCTAGTTTCAGATGTAAAAGCCAGTAACATATTGTAATGGAGAATCAGGGTTAGTTCAGTGCACCCTGGATTGTAACATTACTTAACTGTATATGACAAGCTAGCTATTTACATACACATACCAGACAAGAACTCTCTGTTCCATGTAGACTATATTAGTTTATATTATCCTATAGATTACTTTAACTTTTGGCTTGGTTTAACCTTTAATTCTAAACTGTTAGTCTCAATAATCCTATCATCAGAGTTCCGAGTGCTGTTTGCTAATCTCCGTACCATTGTTTATCAGCAGAGAAGTAAATGGCTTCCTCCTCCTCTTCAGTTCGATAAAGAGCTGGGCAGCTCGACACAGAAAGGATGTCAGGGTCAGGGGAGTGCAAAGCGTGCTGAGACTGCGGAGATGATGGCACAACATTGCGTCTTGATCGACACAAGCTACTGCTTCTTGCCAGTGTGCTGCTGGGAGGTTTCACAATGGACCCTGAGGCAGAGAAAAAGCAACCCAAAACCCTCCAAGTTACACTGATGCTAACAACATCTACTCTGAAGACTAAACAGCAGGTATCTGCTTCAGTAGCAGTGATTTTTAAATGACTTTGACAGTGTTTGACTGTTTCAGAGCAAGAAAGACTGAACACCTATTACATTCTGCAGTTACATGCAGCAGCTAATCAAGGTGCAACTGCAGAGATTTTGTGTCGGCCAAATACTACAATAACTACAAACACCAAAGCTCTGGCTCATTATCCTCTCCCAAGGAAAAAAAATAGAAAAAAAAAAAGAGGAAGATTTTACTGAAACTCACAACCTCTTATACACTAAAAATAACAGTGTTGAAATTAGTATGTTACACAATGTCCTGTATTTTACTTGTGTGGTGATTTGGAATTTAAAAAAAAAAAAGTAAAAGTTTTGCAAATTAGGCATGCCTAACCAAACAACCAACTGAAATACACTATATTAGTTGAAAAGTAGGTTAGACATGGAAGACCAATTTCACTCATGTAACAGGATAGAAAATATATAATTCAACCTCATTTTAAGCTCAAGAATTTCCTTTTAGATAACACTTTCTTTTACCAGGCTAACTATGAATTTCCGGAAACAAAAATACTAAAAATGGGGGAAACAGCAACACAAGACTTGACCAGGAAAGTCCCAACAGGAAGTGACAAACTCAAACGTTCCTAATCCAATTCCTCCTTCAAAAGGTTATTACACAGCAATACTTGCATGGAAATAAAGCTGCAGACCTGTTTTCAGGCTAGCTGTTATGAGTCTCAGGATTTTCATACCCCTCCACAAACTGTGCCATAGAAGGCATCACTGCTTGTGTTACACACACCAGATTCTTACTGATGTTCAAAATGTTTAAAAAACACTACACCAAAAAAAAAAAAAAATCAACTATTTCTGTCTAGCCTGACAAAATATTTTTTTTTTTTGCAATACCAGGTTAGTATCAGCTAAGTTCTAGATTCACTTCCTAGAATTTCAGAACAGGTTGTCACTCCATTTTAGTACAGGAAATCACTACTTTCAGAAAACAGCAAGTAACTGCACCTTTGCCAACACATAAATTTATTTCCATTCCTGAGTAGAAAAGAAAGGTTTATAAGCCCCACCATGAGAGTTGTCATGTAACTCAAACTTTTCATTTTACTTTTGATGAACTCCCTACTGACCTTAAAAGCAGGTGTTAGGAGCTCAGAAATCATCTTGTGTCATTATAAAAGTACTCCTAAAAGAGCAAGTGTGAGCTAAGAATAAGAATCCCTTTAGTAAATTTGTCCAGGTAAATCAGATGCCATCCTACTCACTGATATAAAAAAACCCCAAGATTGCACCATCAGTAAATTTTGAGAGAAGTTACAAGCATTTTCATTCCTTGTAGGTGTATATACCCAGGAATATGAAGGGTTCAGCTACGACAATTTAACATCTAGAATTTTCTAGTGCATATGAAACTCATTAAATCCAGGAACCAGCTGAATCCTAGTCAGTCCATGGAAAAGTAGAAGTTTCACTATCACCCTCCTGTAAGTACTTTGTTCCAGTGTCCTATATCTATTTCTTATCGCCTTTTGTTCTTCAGCCTGAAATCGATCAAACCACTCTATTACCTGACACCATTTCAGCCTATGAACCCAATTGCCCTGGCACAAAGAGGCCTGTCCGACAGACTTCAAATTTTGTCAATCTTATGAGATCAAAGGGCAGGGGGGTAAGTTAACAGCCCAGTTCATTTTAGATCCAGAGACTGTAATAGTCTCACTCTTAACTGACCTTCTGCATGCTGCATTTTTCCTGAAGCCTCATGAGCATGACAAGCCATTTTGCTTCTGTCCTTCCTTGCATGCATTTGATATTTTTCTCTCAAGGATGGGAGTAACTCAGCAGTTACCAAACTAACCTACAATAATTTGACTCCAGAACTGGTTTCAAAAACAAAACACTTAGCATATTTTCCCTCTCCTTCCCCACTCCCAAGTGTTTACAGGTTTTTTTACTGAGTAGAAATTTTAAAAGCTAGTAAATTAAGGATAAACTACTTCCTTCATCTGACCACTTTAACAACATCAGGCTCTTGGGCCTTACTAAAATTAAAGCTTTTGTAGTGTTATTAAGATTCAGGTAACTTTCATCACTGACAGAAATACTGCCAAATGAACTGACCTTTAACAACCAGAAATTAAACCATAACAGAAAAAGCATACAGTAAAGTTTCAGCTAAGTATGCTCTTACAAACTGCAGTCCTTCTCTAATTGTAGTTGCTCTGACCCAACTGCACTGCAAAGTGGTGACCTTAGGCTATTTTAAAATACAGTTTGAACTTCTTCTGAGAATCCCAGCCCTGGAAGAAAAGTGTCCACATATGGTAGTTTTTTTCCCTACTTATTCCTCAGCTTGATATTGCTTGTTTGAATAGCTACATGGGAGCTCATCTTTTTGATTTGCCTCTAGAGCCCAGTTACTCAAAGCTTCCACAAAACAGGCTCTTGTACTGACGCAATGACTCATGATACCAGGGTGGTCTGAGTCCCCAGTGTATATCTTCTGATCATAGTTTAACCAAAGCTGAATTGCCCTCCCTCCAGCACTTGGCTTCTTTGCCTTGCACTCAAACAACCCACTGTATCCAAACACAAACATTCTGCCTGAAAGCTTCCCCTGGACAATAAGATTTTGCTCCAACCACAACCACTAAAGAATGTTTGCAAATCTATGTTAGCATGTGGTCTCTCAAGGGTGTGATCTTCCTAGTAGTTCAAAGGACTCTAAATTAACACCATCCCTTCCACCTGAAAGAATAAATGTGCAAATAGAAATTCAGCATTATTCATCACAAATTTTTGTAAGTAGCAATCCAAGCTTGACAAGCACTTTCAAAACCTTAGCTGGATTTGCCCCATTCCCCCACTGGAACAGAATAAAGGTTTTTTCTTCACATTAAGTTTATTACAAAACTCAGTTTTCAGTTCATTAAATCCCACATGACCTAGTATCTGAAATGCTAGGTAGAGTTTTGGTCCTTTTGACTTTGATCTAATCCTGTTTGATTTCAGCACTCTCCTCCTACCCAACTGGAAACTCCCATGTCCCCACAACTTTTCCTCTTCTTTTTACTGAGCTCACCACTTACCATGAAACTGTGAGACTATTGGAGGAGTATCTTCATCTAAGTCATCAACTCCCCCTGCGATTGGGTAGGGAGGAATGGAGACTCGAGGCATAACTACCCAGCTGTGATCAGAGTAGAGAGAGGAGGTCAAGCTTGGTAGCCCAGAATTGTGTGCGATTTGAAACCCGCAAATCTTCTCAATCTGCTGCCATCGATAAAGACGCTCTCGCAAACATGTCGTCAACTCAGAGAGTGCTTTCCTGAAGAAAAGCACACATTAGAATTACACACACTGTTCTTAATGATAAAAGCAAAGCAACACAAGTGCATTCATTCCAGCATACCAGAAGACAGAACTGTTCAAATATTCACATTTTCATGTATTTTAAACTGCTTTTCCTAAAATGCAAAACCATTATGACACTCAATTCCATAACTCTCAAAAATGTCCTTGTTTCAGGAATAAGTAAGAACAAAAGACTATGGAACTTATCCTGGTAACCCTCTTACTTTGCTTCAAGAATTTTATGGTCCACTTCATCCAGGGAGGAGCTGTGTGCAACATGTAATGTTCCGAATACGGTGCTTCTCTTCTTTTTTATCTTTTCTGCCTAAAAGGCAAGACAAAATGAAATCCATAAAACCAGGAGTAATATACTTCACAGATGACAAAACATTAGCAATATTGACAGGTAGTAAACAACTCAGAGAAGAAAAAAAGCACTCAAATGCTTATCTGCTTTGCATTTACTAGTTCACATATCTAGCAACAGATCAGAAAAGTCTTTAAGTAGCTGAAGAATAAGTTATTACCTCATCTTTGGCAATTGCTAATTGCATTTCTGCATGCTGTCTTTTGATGTTGTAATATTGTACTTCAACTTCATGTGTTAACTGAAGCCACTTCTGCAAAGCTTCAGGAACAGACCAATTACTTCTCAACTCAAACTCCTTCTCAGCCTTTTTTAAAGCCATGCGAACCTAGCAATCAATAAGAAATAAGAATGTCACCAAGAGTATCATTAGAACTGACAGCAGAAGAAAGTTAAGTATAAGCACCTTCATACCAGGAATACAGACCTGGCATTTCTGAAATCTGGCATAGGACCTTCCATATCCTGTACTACACTCAGATTTTTTTTTCTTGTGATACATGGTTCCTAATTTGAAGTTTAAAATTTTTTTTGTAAGACAGCATTTTTTTAGTACAATAAATCCAAATTTATTGCTTTTGAGAAGAGACAAAGCTACTATCTCTGTCCTGATAACAAGATAAAAAAACTTTTTAGATATATTTTTGTTCAGTGAATCCAAAAACATTACGATAAGCTAATATAAAAAGTTTACAGTTTTTTATAGTTTGAGGATTATTTTACTAGAAAAAAATCATACTTTTATTAGTATGATTGAAAGACGCTCATTAAGTACACTTAGAATTTTTCCATTAAAATATAGCATTTGAGGAATGCTGCTTTAAACACTCCTAAGGACCTAATAAAACTACAACCAATTCAAAGTCAACAGTAAAGTTATAAACAGTTTGTAGATACCTGTACTAATTCTTCCTCTGCATATTTGAGCCTGCTGAGCTCACATTCAGCTCCCTCCCTCAATTCCCTTAGGCGATGAGCTTCCCGTTTTGCATCATTGATCTCATCCATCATTTTGCGCTCCAGATTTTGCTTTTCCACAGCAACATTTCTGTTCTCTTCTTGTGCCTTCTCAAGCCTTCACAATTGAACAAAAAACATAAGAAAATACACAGCATATTTGTTAAAAGTTGTAGTTCTCAGAAGAAGAAAATGCATCCAGCAACAAGAGCAAGCAGCAATGGGCACAAACCAAAGCATGAGGTTCCATCTGAACATCAGGAAACACTTCCACCATGAGAGTGATTGAGCACTGGCACAGGTTGCCCAGAGCAGTGGTAGAGTCTCCATCCTTGGACATATTCAGAAGCCACCTGGACATGGTCCTAGGCAACCTGTTCCAGATGATCCTGCTTGAGCAGGAAGGGCCAGACAAGATGAATTCCAGAAGTCTCTTCCAACCTCAATCACTCTGTGATAATAAAGACTCTGCAAGCTTCATGAATCAGCAGCAATTGCATCACACAGTGTGATATCCCCATTAGGCAAAACACACAAGCTTTTAAGTGAACTATCATTAAAGGTATAATATCAAAATACAAAAGTCTATATACAATTGAGTTACACATGCACCAGAGAAGACTTTCAACTCTCACACTGCTGTATAAGCAATAGAAAGTAATCAGTCCTGCTCTGTTTTAATCTTAAGAGCTTAAAAACATGAGAAATGTTCTCATTTCCCTGTATGTAAATATTCCAAAGTAAACTGTAATTATATGAAAATAACAATATATACTTGTAAATCTGTAGGTAAAAAAGACAGCCTCTATTCTTTACCTTCATCCTCAAGTTCATACTGCCTGCTAAAATATCCAGGTGTAATTTCTACCCATAAAACCAGCAACAATGAAATCACAATTTCCATGCAAAGGGAAGATGAACAAAATCCAAAGGTAGCCTAATGTAAATAATTTATGACTGTAAAGGATCTGTGTTTGTATTAATTCAAAACAAAAGGACAACTAGACATGAACTTTTTTTTATTTTTAGGTTTTATACCTTTCCTGCAAGTCAAGAAGACTTTGCTCTGCTGTTTGAAGACTTTCTAAGTCCTTCATCATTTTTGTGATATGTTCTCTTGAGGTTCTGTTCTGTGTATATGCAAACCAGCAGCCTCCAAAACCAATAACTATAGAAACTGTTAATATAAAATCCTTCATCCAGTTGTGAGGGGGACCTGTGCAGAGAATAACACCATCATTAACTAGTTCACTGATACAGACAACAGATCAAGGCCTTCTCCCTTTTTCCCCGGCCTAAAAGGTGACAGGACCTGATCCTAAACAGAATTACCTCAAACCATCCCCAACAACTACCTTTCAAATGTATTCCAGAGTAGTTTCCATACAACATAAGCAGCTCTGCTCTAACACAATTTACTTAATCTACACTAAAACATTCATTAGATTGAGAAAAGCTTATCAAACTTTTACAGTACATACTCTGTATCTTTACTTTTACTCATTTAAATAGAGTTCCCCAATTACACTTTATCAGGTCAGTAAGACCTTTAATTATGTTAAAGTAAATTCTCCCCAGTTTGTACCCTCTGGAATACCCTATGCTGGGTTAAAAATGCACTTGGAAAAATAAAGTACCTTTTAAAAGGGTGAGTGGCTAACAGCAGCCCTTCTTAAAAGCAAAACTTTGATTTTCAAATTATCATATCCAAGATTCACACACACACACGTCTTTGTTAGTACAATTTTTATAGTCATTTGCACCTTTGTAAGACAGTTTCTGCTAGCATTAAAGGTATAACACAGATACACAGTGCTTTTTCCCCTCCTGAAAATCCCCAGCTCAGATCTGGCCTGACTGATTCAGGAACACCCGACCTGCACAGCACCACAACAAATCTGTAACTTTGTACAAGCAAGAACACAGATCGCTGGTGATGTGGTATGGACATGTCTGCATATGGTAAAATGGGTCAGATGTGGAACTGCTGCATCAAGTTTAACTGCACTTAACTCGGCACAAAAGATGCAGTTATTGGATTTGCACCATCTCCTTTTTTATTCTTGGGGGAAGGTCACCACCTCTCATTCCAACATCCCAGCTGCACTGTCCAAGCTAATTGGGAAGTGATTGTAATGTTAGCTGTAAGTGTAATTTAAACAGTCAAACACATTTAGAGGACGCTTCTTATGACACAAAAGCCAACTTACATCTTTGAAGTGGGGTTATACTAAAATTTCTACATGATTTTACACACAGAAGTGAACTTTGGCCTGGTCACAGCACCTAAAGAACCTTTTTTAATTCACTGCAGACTTCCACAACACATGCCAAGCAATCCATCAGTACATCCACAGCATAGATAAGCTGTCCTATCTACAGTATCAAGTGTCACTGAAAATATGCTCTGCTGAATTCTTACGATTAAGAGGTAAGAAAAAACTCCAAAAAGTTACTAACGGGTAAGAGGTCCAAATAAAACCACATCCAAGGCTTTAAGCTGAAGCTTCTGTCTATGGCTCCGGTCAATTATTTTCAAGTGAGAGATCATGAAAGCATGTTCATTTACTGCTATCCTGTTAATGACAAGACAAAACATTACCTATACCATAAATTATATTCAAAATCAACCTATGCAAAAAAAAGATATCAACAACATTTCTCACAATTGCTTATCTGTAATCTGTAGAACTAAGAGTGAGAAATATAATATGACAGTAGGGCTAGGAAAAAAAAAGCACATCAGAGCGTTGGAAAAAGGAACATAAAATCATTTACCTATTCTTTTCTTTCTGGAAAAATCATGAAATAAATCCATTTAGCAAAGTTAAAGGTAAACATTTGCAGACTTGTGACACCAACTCTGTAATACATGCAATGTACTCAGATCTGGTAGTCACGCTCCAGGACAGGGGTTCTACAGATAGTTTGTTACATATACCCATACAATAGACTGGAAGATATTCAAAAGAAAGTTTGCTACCACACAGAATTATCTGACCTTGGCTAAAAGCTTCCACAGCAAGAAACAACACTTTTATGAAAGTCATATTTTAAAATATTTTGGCAGAAAAAAAAAATACGGCCACCTCTTCAAAACTGCATTCTTCTTTTCTAGCATTTGACCATACCTTGTTAGACTTTACGTTCACATCCTTGTTCCCATATAGAGACTAAAGCAGAAACCTACAAGGAATTTTTTGAAACTAATCCTGAAGAAACATTCACCTGGGAAGTGTTGTTCCATTGACATTGCTGTCTCTGAAATTCTTTTCATATTGGGGCAGTTCAACAAATTCTGACAGCCATTGAAGAGTGTCCTCTTGAGTCCAGTTATGAACTGGAAGAAAAATTCTGTTTAATTACCTTACATTTTTGTAAAAATCAACAGCAAGACATAGAAGACAAGCATAAGAAAAGCAGGCTACAATGACCAAGAGAGTTTAGTCAAATATAATTGCAAAAAAATTAGCATTAACATTCACCAAGGTGTTTCTGGCATTTTGCCTTTTTCATTATATGCTTCTCAGTGAAAGCTTAGGCAAACTATAAAAAAAAACAAGCATGGAACCAATAGAAACATTTCTTTATTAAAAATTCCACAGAATAATTTAGTCTTTTGCTTTAGTTTAAATCAGGACAGCATTTTGTGATCTCTCGTGACTTTGATCTACTTAAACTGATCTCAGCCTCAATCCCTTTGTCCTTGCTACCCTTGTAGAACTAAACACACATCAGCTGGTGCTGTAGTCATTTGAGGCAACATACCAAGACCTTTCCCTGGATGGTGGCTTAAGAACTTGTTTTCACAAGAATTTTCTTACAGGCTCATGCCTACCAACCACAAAATGGGAGCCGATGAGAGGTGAAGAGAGCAGATTGAAAGAAAACACCAAAAGAGAGTACAATTTAACAGGAAAGCATTTAAATCTCTCTCAAACATGCCCCAAAAAGCTGAACTAAATGCAAAAATACTCCCGCTAAGAATAATTATTTAAGTATGTAGAGAATAATTAAAAATTTGCCTTTCTAACAGCAACAATCTACATAGATTTTCATACTTACAAATGGTCTAAGAAAATCCTAGCCACAGATTTTAAAAAAGGGGGGAAGGAAAAAAAAAATCACATTTGTGGTCTTCACAGGCCACCTGCTACAGCTTAAAGATTCACACTGACAAAATGGAAGGGAAATTGTTTGTTCCATTTCTGACTCTGCAAAAGTTTGTCTACACATGAAAAAAAAGTGACAGCCTCCTTTTGAACAGACAATTCACATGAAAAAATTTTAATATTTCTCTACCTAGAACTACTTGCATGTGACAATGCTAGGCAGAGATTTCTGTAGAAACCTGATCATAAAGACACATTCTCAGTGGTGAATTTTGACAATGACCCTTTCAAAAGAGCTGCTAAAAGCTTGATAGGTAAAGCTGCAGGCAATGGAAGCTTTTGTGAGTTCAAATTCATATTTCACTTCACACTGAAACTGAAATAAGGACTTCTAGATCTCCTGTCTACACTAGCATAGCTGAAAAATAAGCTCAAACATTTTAGATTTTCATCACTCCAGATAACCAGAGACAGAACACATTTCACAGACCCACTTATAGCTTTAAGAAACAAACTTGCAGTATAAACCACTTGTTTCCTATCCATATGAATGCCAACACAATCTTCCCAGTGTGCTGTCCCATTTTCTTCTCCCCTTTTGAGCCACAATCAGGTATTGATTTGAAACAGTTTTATTATATTACTCTAAGATTTTATGCAAAGTGTCTGGGCTCTGTTTGTAAACAGATTGTGTTCCCAAAGCAAGGATTCTTAACTCTTTTGTGAATAATAAGCAATTAGACTTACATGTCATGTGAAGTCATTCAAGACTGGTCATTACAAGTCTCAAAAGAGTGGTAAAATAATCCAGAAAAACATCACCTTAACTGCATTCTAGAAACATGTTCATAGACTGATCCAAAGCAAAAGCATTTGCTTTGATGTGACATGTGAAAAAAACCTACTTAAAATAGCCACTACATACTACAGACTATCACTGACAGTGCAGAACATGCCATTTCAGAAGCCACACAATTCACTGAGTTTATAAATTTTGGGGAAAGGAAAAAAAAATACCACTGAGACGTTTCACTTCTGTTACTGAAAGTATTTTGTAGACACTCCAAGTTTTACAGAAATTTGTAGGGTTTTTATAAGTCAATAGTAATTTTGAACATATTATTTTGTAAGAAATTAGATACATATTTAAGTGGTTTTACCACAGAGAGCCAATCATATGTTTTCTACTGGCTAGACTGGTATATTGTCTTCATAGAATATAAAGGAAATTTTCCCAAATAAGTCAGTTATATTCAGGAAAACTTTATTACTCATTATCTATCACTGTATCAGACAACTCCATTAGTACAGAAACTGCAAAATGAAGCAACTAAGGTCTATCCCAAAACAGAATCAGTACTTGTACTTCCTGTACTCTTCTTATACTGTTACTTGTTTATCTAAAAATTAATATCAATTACTTTTTTTTTATTATGTTGTGTCTTTTTGAACAACCAGTCACCATTTAAGCTATCAGTACATAGTCATTTCTTATGCTGATATTTCACAGTCTGAGTCTCCGCTCATGCACATATTTTACAAGAAATTTAGATTTATTATGTAAACTAATACTTCATTCACAGAAGTTCAATGTAGGTGTCTGCAAATCCCCAAATCTTCCAGGTTGATTTAGACTAAACTACACTATTTTCACTTTCCTACTCTGTCAGTGAAAACATTCACTGTTTTTGTTGCTATCTTCTATATGCTGTATGTTGGTAAGAAGTATTGTTTCACTTATCTTGAATAAGAACTTATGAAAGGCATACTTGTTTATTGTACAGCAGCACACAGTACTGAAAAGCACACTGGCCTTTCTTCAACAGAAGCTGTTCCAGCCACTGAAACTCGACACAAGGCAAGTGTGATATACACCAGGTGGACTGAAGGGCAAGCAGGCCAGCTGAAACTCATCTTAATCAGCACTGCCAGTTAGAATGTGCCAACTCCTACTAATTAGCTGGGGTTGTAACTTTTCCTTAATTTAGTCACCAAAAAAGAATACAGTGCTTCAGACAGTGGAGTAGCAAGTCACAATTACTCCGAGTTAAATGCACATAGCATTACAGAGTAATTATCCTTCCCTCTCAACACCTCTTTTCACAAACAGATATCTTGAGAGAGAGGATGCCAACAACGTGCCTTGGGAAGGCAGGTGTAGAAGCTACAGTGTTTACACCTCAGAGCAGCACTTGGTCTCTAGACTTGCATCAGCTGCTCTATTTCAGATCACAAATTATTGGGTTGAGTTTTTTTCCTACTTTTTTTAACTGCCCTCTCAAGATGCTGAAGGTGAAGACAGCAAAAGTAGCTTTAAACTGGCCCTGTACAGAAGTCGGTCCTTGCTAACCCACATTAATGGCCGATTAGAAGATCATTTTTTAATATTAAATTTATCACACAGCACAGTGCTTCCAGGCAGGGAGGCTTGAAGTAAAATAACACTGCAGTGTCAGCCTCAGTACTCTTATGGGCCTCCTACTCTTTTCAGAAATCAAATTACATTTTATAGGAGTATTTCATGGCAAGCAGTGAATGACAGCCATATATTAGGCTTGAAGTTGAGAACAGGCTGACCAGGCACAAAAGATTGTTCTGTATCAAGCATACAAAAGCATTTCAAACTTAGTTTTTAGGACCTTCAGCAGTAACATCAGCAGCACACACCATTATGTAACCCATCCTTAGCTAACCCCTGCTTGCATACATTTCTAACCTTCAGATATTGAAAGCCTGAGACACCAAATGATTAAAGTGTAAGGCAACCATAACATCTTTGTGGTATGCAGTTTAGTCCCAGTTGCTGCAACACTTGTGCAGCAGTACATCAGAATACAACAGGTGATCACATATACAAACATAAAACCATTTTTTATCTTTTTACCTAATAAATAAGGTACCAGACTTTAGTTCAGCATCTATTTTTCCACAGAGAAGGAAAGAGAGTTAAAGAAAACAAAAAGGTACACATACAAGGCAAGGGAGAAGCTTTTTTTGTATTATAGGGCAGTCTGCAGGATATACTATACATTAAAGGTCAAATATGCCATAATGGTAAAAAGAGTTACTTTTTTCTAAAGCAGTTTGTAACAAGTAGGTTTGGTAGGATTCGAATTAGTCTGACAACAGCTGGCCATTCATGAACTCCAGGTTTGATCATGACAGTTTCAACTTCATTACAAAATCAAGTCCCAAGGGACAATGCTACAACACCAAGAATGCAGCACTATACCCTACTCACAGAGACACATGTCAGAGAACTACCCAGTTGAAGGCCCTGCACTGATTTTACAATCTCCGTTGCTACTGAGAATAAATACCTACCCACCTCTCTGCAGACAGAAAATTCATATGATCATAGCTCATTACATGGGCAAAAAGAGAAGGCAGGCACCTTCAAGTGAGAGAACTTTCAAAGATAATTGTACAAAGACTGGTACTAAAACATCAAAACAAGTGCTCATCTGTCCCCTTTTCTGCACTCAAAACCTCTACCTCTTCAAGGCTCTAGTAAAAAAATCACTGAAGATGCTCCTTTGATTTTAACCTATCAGTAGCTACTCAGCTTATTACTTTTGAATAGCTGAAAGGCTCTCTAGTGCATGTATAAATACTGCTTAGTTAAAACACAAGGCAGTCAAAGAATACAACAAGCATATGCTGGCATTTACATTTAAAGAGCAGTAACACACCATAAGTCAAAGACTCAGAGAGCTGTGTTTTCTGTTTGAAACAGGTATGCTAGTTCATAGTCACTCCCCTAAATACAGCACTCTGTAGAATCAGACTATGAGATTAAAAAGTTTCAAAGGTCACAAAAAGCATATTATAACTACACTAAATGAAATTAAAGTCTTGTTTTGGCATGATTTCATTTTCTTCCCTCAAATCTTATCTATCTTGCATCACCAATATCTTAAACAGAAAGCACCTTTAAGCTATTTGACAAATACTTAAGCCAAACATTCACATAAAGCAAGCTTTATGGCAAGGAATGTGCAATTCTACTCTGCATAAAGTAGGCAGCAACAGATCCATAAGATGTTTCTGCATACACTGTCAAGAGCACTATTTAGAGCTTGTAATTCTCACACAGTCTCAATAGAGTACTTAAAAGTTTCAAATTACTGATACTGTCATTTACACTACCTTCCATCCTCTTGTTTAATGTTGTCAAATTGCGTTAAGCTGGCGTTATAAACTAGCAGCACATACAAAAACAAAGCAATCAAATTCCTAAAACATTTAGAAAGGAAAAACAGTATTTTTCCATGTCACCTAAAATCAAGTGAAGGTAGTTCATTTTCTGAGGGGCTTCCTGCTTTCTAACAGTCAGCACATCACTGGTAACACTGCTCAGCAGCCTCATTCTAAAGGTCTCCCTGTGGTGCAACTTAAGTTCTCTCAACAGCATGCCCAGTAAAGCCACTGTGAGACATGACATTCCTCTCAAAGTCTTTTGAGTCTTACTCACGCTGCACACTATATTCAAGAAACGTGAAATAAAGATATACACAATAGACAAATTAGATACTTCTGGTAGCCTAAATTTTTGAAGAGTTACTCATGAGTTAAACCAACAATTACGGCGAGATAATTTTTTCGGATAATTCAGTTGTAATACTTTCATAGAATAAGCTTTTCAGAAAATAGGTCTTTACAGAATATTTGAAGAGATGAGGCTAAAGATCACTAGTTAAAAGATATTTACTACACAGCAAACACCTCTTACTTCAGACTGCACTTCTACATTAGCTGATCTCCTACATTAGCAGAATGGGCAATGGTATGTTCCTAGTTTCATTCCTCTCTTGTTCCTACTTCTAGTTGTTTGACCAATACCAACTTTTAGATGTCTCTATGAGCACGATTAGCACATGTCCTAGTTTAGGACTGGTATTCTCAAATATAGTACTTGGTTTCCCCTCCTGCTCCAACTGGAGGCACAAAAGGCAAAGTCAGAGGTTGAGATAAGAACAATTTACTGTAAGAGGCAATGAGATAAGAAAACTAACAGCAACAGCAACAATATTAATAGCAAAAGGTATAAGAAAAAGAAACAATTTACACAGAAAGCCCCCCCCCACAATAAACAAATAAGGGTCCATCGCCCACACATCTCATAGAAAGAACCCCTTCTCCCCAGAAGAGAGACAGAGTTCTTTTCCCCTCCCCCAGCAATGATGTTAGGGAGTATAGAGTAACATACAGGCCTTAGCCACAAACCCTCCCAGCTTCTGCAAAAAATTAATCCTGTCCTGGCCAGAACCAAGACAGCACACCACCTTCAGAATGGTGTGAGGGGAAAATAAATTAAGTATTTCTCTCCTAACAACTCTAACATTCCAGATATCTGGAATTTTTTTTTAAATCACTATACCCTGGGACATATTTGGCAATGAACTGTACATTAAATACTATCTTTTGATACTTGGAATATTTGGTTCAACTTATTTCATTTAAAACAGCATGAGGGAGGGCTGGTGGTGTTGTCAGTCCATTTTACTGTGTCCCAAGTTTAACAGGATTTTCAAAAATGCTTTAACCTAAGAATTCTAGGTTTTCATAACCCAAATAAAATTTACATTGAAGTGGAATTACATAGAATTTTCAACTCTATAAAACACGCAATAAATATTTAAAAATAGCTTAGGTTTATTAAATTAAAAACATGCTAATCTGGAAATCAGCACTTGCACTAGTCACCTTGATAAATTAGAATCTTATACAGATGAGTGTGTAAGCTATCTTAGTTTACTTACAATGCACCAAGCATTGGAAATTAACAATAGCTGTACTAAATAAGTTCTTAGGTTTACATATGCCTATAAATAACAGCATCAAAATGGACTCATGAAGATGCTTCAAGTCATTCATTTACTTGTCTATACCTGGTGGAAAAATTCTTGAATTATGTCTGTGTCAATAACCACCATCATTTTTAGTTATACTTCTTTACCTACCTTCAGATGTTTTCCAGCGTTTCCACAGATCCTCAATGGTGATATGTTTGTCTTCTCTGTGCAGGTGACTATGTTTATTAGAGGCATCCTTGTACTGCATATCTTCCCTTAGAAACTGAAGAAAAAGGAAAAACTCAAATACCAAAATAACAATTTCTGAACAGAAACCACAAGGATATCAGGTAGACAAGAGTTCTTTGCTATCTCTTCCCCATGCAAACAACACAGAATTCATCTAAGTTCTCTAAAAAGACTCAGAAAGCATGTTAAGTACTCTTACAAGATTTGTTTTTCATCATGATTATATCCAAGAAAAACTGAAGCTTCAGTTGCTAGTATTCTAGATTTAGCAGCATTATTAGTATGCCTTAGATTTACAGTGATTACAAGAATTCACCGCACAAGTCACACTGCATACTTTTGTACTCTGAAGACATTTAACCAACTTTGTCTACTTCAAAATAAGACCATGTAAATTTGAAAGTGCACCAGTCCTTCATGGATGAGTAATACTTGAATCTTGCTCCACCAGTTAAATGCAACTGCTTGAGGATGAGAGTAAGCTGTTGACTAAGTATTACTAAAGTCTTTTGATTAGACAACAAAAATTTGACTTTATTTCATCAAATTAAACAACAAAAGTCATCTGAGGGGCAATTTTCTTCTCACTAATCTTTCCTTAGTGGTTACACTCCAAACACAGAAGCATTACATAAAGCTGATTCATTCTCAGTAACTAATAGAAAGCCTTTTAGTAAACATGATAAAAGAAGTTCATGCAATCATGTCAAACATAATGGGTAGTTAGGCACTGGAACAGGTTGCCCAGTGGAGTTGTGAATGCCCCATCCCTGGAAGTGTTTGAGGCCAGGTTGGATGGGGCTTTGAACAACATGATCTAGTGGAACGTGTCCCTGCCTAAAACATGGGGATTGAGACTAAATGATCTTCAAGGTCCCTTCTAATCCAAAACGTTCTATGATTTTATGACAGCAGTGTTGTACTAGTATTTCACAAGTCACTACAAACAGATTCTCCAAATACATGCACAAAAGACTCCCATGGAACCACAAAATTCATTCTATTTTTATTTCATACACGCCTAGAAAAGTTGGAATAGCGGTTGGCAAACAACCTCCCACTAATAGTGGAAACCTTCCATAGGTATCAGTCCCTAAAATCACAGTATGAGCAATCTCTGTGGGTGAAGACCTTAGAATTTGTATCAGAAAACTAAAATATGATACAAATAGTACCAGAAAACTAAGTCATCTTTCACAGCAGAGAGCTTGCTTTCTTCAGTTCCTGAAGGATGAAGTTGCTCAAACAAAAACAGCTACAGACAGTCATAACAGCTCAGTAAAACCAGCTTTTTTATGTGGCTGGTCATATATCATCACCACTTCAAGCAGAGGTGAGGAGGAAGGCCAAGCTAATGAAGCACTGCAGAAGAGCCCAATTCTTTAAATTTAGTCCAAGTAACAATTTACGTGTAGAGCTTCCTGTATAGGCCCCATTTCTAACAAGTCATTCAAGAAATTGAAGGAGAGACTGAAAAGCAGCCGATGCTAAACCATAATATTGACTCTTTATAACAAGAAACAGAGTATGATAGCAGAAATATGCAAGCAAAAGCTAACACTTATCAATTTTCCCTTACTAAAATATTTTTACTAGGATGTAAGGAAATCTAAAACTATGTGAAAGGATTCAAATTTCTCCTCTAACTTGGGATACAATACTAATTGCTTTCTCTAAGCCAACCATAGAGCCATAGTATCCAAATATAGGTTGGATGCAAATCCTCTCTCATTTATCTATTACTTCAAAACTTTGATTGTCAGACATTAGCTTTCTAAAGCCTTTTGATTCCTAAAATAGCTCCATTTAGCCCATAAAAACTGCACAAGCATTTTTAACTCCTCTTCCCCATGTGAATGAGAATGGCATAAATTCAGATATTAAAAAAAAATATATGCACGCACACACACATATACAACAGAAATACAGGATAAATTTATGAAATATATGAGAACTGAAAAGAGCAACCTGTTGGAGCAAGGGCTATTACAGAACTTCTGAAACATTATGGATCAGCAGCAGTAAAAATGTTTCATAAACACAGAACTGTATGATGTAAATGTACGCAAATGTAAAAATATCGGCTGCATATTCCATAGTCCAAGTAGGAACTCTGACAATACTACCATGAAGCTGGAAAATTCTACAACTATCATTCAATGTGCAACCAAAGATGGATTATTTTATTCATTCCCATACCATCTTTATGAAAGAGTAAACTGAAAAGCAGGAACTAAATAATAAGAAAACAAGGATAATATTCTTATCCACTTGTGTCTCTAAGCCTTTCCAGATTAAAGTAGTCTCACAGCTGGAACAGCAGGAAAGAACTGGTGTTTGCCCAACTCACCTTCTCCCTCCAGACTGCAAGTACCTACTACCAGCTGACACCCTCAGCATATCTTTTGTGAACTTGGAAAAAAATACACTAAAAATTCAGCAAAAAATATATGTTCCTCCCTGTAAAAATTGTCTCTCTTCATATGGGGGCTAAGGTAAATGCTAACACTCCTCAGCTTTCTAGTAACTGATGATAAGACTGCCCTTGGTGACTCCAAATGTCAGGTATGGACATTTGTTTTAAAAAACAATTGTTGTTGGACAGTGATGAAGTTTCTGAAGAGGAACAGAATGCATACATGTACATATGTTGTATGTACAGGCTTAAGCCCATTTTGCATCTTCTCAGCTAAAACTCAGATCAGTTTTGTTTATACAAACTTGCTCCTATCTTTACTGCTAGTTGTCAGCAAAGGCTGTAAAATAGTGAAGGATGAGAACACTTGTGCAGTTAGAGGTCAAGGAAAAATCTGATTTGCCGCTAACAATACAGCTCTTAACAATACGTGGTCAGAAGGAGAGAAGGAAGATGCCAAATGACAAACAGAAGAGCTTCACGGTGTTACATCTCACCCCAAACTAAGCACTACAAGGAAGCCTAAGAGAGCACTGCGATTTAAAACCCGGAGGAGCCGCTCCTGCCGTTCGGCGCCGGCGCCCGCAGAGGGCGCAGCAGCGCCCGCGCTCGCAGGGCCGCGGGAAGCGCGGATCCAAGTCCGCAGCACGAGATTTCCCGGGAGGAGAAGGCGATACAGGACCTCGTTTACACCGAGAGGCGGATTAGAGTATTTGACTGACGTCCTTTATTGAACAGGGACTGTCAGCACTCAAACTTGTGAGCAGCTCGCAGTCAGTAGCAAGTACAGTTACTGCTCAGGGGGAGAGGATCTACACCCATGAGAACTTCTAAGTGAAAAGCCCATCTTCTGTTCTATCCTACCCACACTGCTCCCAGATCCTGTGAAAATAATCACGATGGCTTCCTCAGCGAGGTTCTCTAGCACCACATGGTCCCAGCACTAAAGTTAAGAGTACATATAGCAAGGAAGAGGCCATCGTGTTTCCAAGAACGAATGCATTTAGTAAAGAAGAGCTATATAACAACATCAAATATCTTTCTTTAGTTTAAAGGATCTTCGTTTCAAAACTGGTCTAATATGAAGTGCTTCTTCACAAAAAAGAACTGTGTCCTAAATTGAAGAAAGAAAAAAAGATAACAACTCTAGTAAAAAGAAGATTTTTCTGTTCCTTGTCACGGCAGCTTATCTCTCTTCTATTGCCCTGGTCATTAAGTATACAAAGAAAAGGTTAGAAAAATAACTCTAAATAGGGAGGTTAAAAGAATAAGCTCTAACAAAAACACATCTAGGGATTATCTTAGCCAAAACATAATTACTCAGGAAGGAGAAGTCCTTTTAAGACTACAAAGTTGAAATTGAGAAAGCAACAGATAAGTTACCTAAAAACTCTGCGTGACACACACAAAAAAAATTCATTTGTCAATATAGTTACTTCAAAACCAAGTAGACAGTAAAAAAACCAATCTACACTTAGACTTCAAATGGAGTCTTGATCCCAAAACTCCATAACAACTGTACCTCTACAAAGATCAACATCCCAAAGTCCAAGGTTCGGCAGTGTAATAGCTAGAGAGGAAACTTTTTCCTGCCTGGAGGGGACAGGACTTGTGGAGCCCTGGAAAAGTTCCAGGGTCAGGTACACACCACCTTCCTTCCTCTTCAGAAAGCCTTTAGTACTGTAAGTTTCACCAAAATCCAGTTAACTCATCAACAAAGACCAACCTGAAGCAAAACAACAACAAAAACAAAACAAACAAACAAAACACAACAACAACAAAAAAAACCCTGACCATTGTAAAAGAGGTAAAAAGACACCCCAAAATCCAATACAAGTTTGACTGGTATCAGAGACAGTGCTTGCAAACTAAACTCAAAATATGGAAGCTGCAAGAGACACTTGCTCCTTGAAAAGCAAATGAGAAACTGCATATTTTTGCAAATGCCAGTGGAAAAGTAAAGTTAACACTCACTAACTGCAGCAGGAAGCATTCTTATGCTGTTTATATTTTATTCTGGGTGAAGGCTCAAGTTTATAATTTTCATCAACTTAAAATAGACCCTTTAACTGACAAGTTTACTTTCAGAGCAATTAATAAAATTTCCTGGCTAAGTATTACTCTCCTCCTCAAGCAGTGTTATTTCCTTCAGGTTCATTCCTTCTAAGGGAGACCTGCAAAAGTTACAATTTCATTTTTACTATAACCCTTCAGATTTCCTATAAACCTTCAGATACAGCCAAGTCATTGCTAGAAAGCCTTCCCATCTATTGCTACCAGACTTAATGCAGCTATTGCAATGTCACATGTACTGAATAAATTATAATGGTAAATGTGCTTTTAAAAAGCAACATATTATAATTCAGGTATGACAGCTTTTGCAACTGCCTACCCTACAGAAATGGCTTCTAAAGATGTTACACAGTAAAATAAGAAAATGTATTTAAGCATAACAAAAACATTACTAGAAAAACATAGGACATAATAAGGAAAGTGTTACCAAGTATATCTTAAGTAATCAACATATTCTACCGAAAAAAGATTATTGCAGTTCAAAACAAAACTGCAGCTATCCTACTCTAACAAACTTTGCAACCTTTCAAAGCCAAAGAATTTCC